ATCCCAACGAGGTGGGTTATTTATTGACGGCGGGCGGCCCAACAAGAAAGCCCATGTGAGGTGAATCACCCTTTCCCCCAGGGGAGCACCGGTCTGATTCAAGCAGGTGGGCAGCTGGGGGAAGCCACCGCCGGCACATCGGATCATCTTGAAAGAAGCGGGCTGTCCTGGGTGGGCAAGGGAGGCGGCGCCAGCCAAGGGGCCAGCGAGGGCTTGGGGCTGTCTGGTGCGGGACAGCCTGATGGCCCCCAGAGGAGGAGAGTGTTCCTGGGCGAGGGCAAGATCAGAGGGATGTAGGCTGTAGTTGTAAGCTGTACGCCGCTAAGCTGTGGGCTGTTGAGGTGAGACGAACGAGACGAGGGGGAGGCGGCTATTCTTAGCAACATCATCCTCAGGGAGGGATTCAGGGAGGGATTGTCATTTAATAACCAGTACTCCGTAGTAAGCCTCCCATTGTCACCACCGCTATCCGTATTGATCCTCGTCCTCTGCCTTGGCCTTGTCAGTTCTATTCTGGGTGTCACCTGGATCGGGTCAGGAGATGTTGCATGTTTGATTGCTGTCGCGGCCAGGAAGCAGGATTCGGGATTCGGGATTCGTCTTTATTTAAACCACTAGCTGCTAGTTAGTAGTTGACAGTTGATATACATCCACGCAATTCCCACGTCTGCTCCTCGTCCCTCGTGCTCGATTGATACCAACGATCATAAAGGTAACAGTATCCCCGCCCACTGCCCAGGCCCTACGCCCTATTTATTTTGGCAACCCATGACGGTAGACGCCAGGGCTACCAAGTTCATCTGGCCCAAGAACGAGCCATGGAGAGTGTGTTCTCGACGATTCTTCCAGCAGAACTCAAGGGTCTTTTCGCCCGGGTACATGTCATGAATGCTCTATCCGAACAACGCCCGACTTACCCGTGGGTTTGTTTGGATAAGATCGAGTTGTTCTGCTGCCAATGCCACCGGACTACATCATACATCCTCCGCTCCTCCCGCAGGATAGAATTTTCACTCTGGAACACTTATTTTGAGACCCCTACTTGGGATACTATTTCTTGCTGAAGAATGACTTCTGGAATTCCACCCAAGAAACTTCCCTTCGGGCTAATTTCCATTTAACACACACAAAGAACAGAGTTCGCCGGCACCTTATATGAAATCACAACCCACGACGCACATTTATCAACCTTCGATAATTGCAGAGGATTTTTCTGGCTAAATATCCAAAATGTTGGATTCTGTTCATGAAGATGCCGAATACAATGTGGCCGATCTCCTACCGTTTCAAATTCTGAGCCATTACCGTACCATACATACCGAGGAAAAAGTCTGAAGAGTTTTCTTTTTGTTTCCTGCCCTCCCTTTCCCAGAACAAGAACCATTATGTGGGAGATTCTGGAGAAGCAGAACGATGCCTCCCACCTATGCAAATTTCTGAAGACTTCGGCTGGGCCTGTCGCAGGGTTACTGCCGTTGCTGCATGATGTAGAGATAACGAGAATACGCTGTAATATTGCAAAACAAAAAGGCGGGGCGGGGGGGGAACCCTGGTTTAGTCGCGATAAGCGCCAAATCTAATTAAGCGTGGGAACTAAGCAGGGAAGGGACAGGTTGGCGTTCCGACCCTTATTAGCATCTACTAAAGTATACTAGGTACCAGAGAATAGTATTTTTTCTTATTCAAGCTGGAATAGGAGACACAAGCTGGATGAGTTTCTGATTCTCGACACGAGATTGCAAAATTGATCATTAAATCCGATAAAGCCTGTCTTTCTTTGTTCAACATAACTCGGGGCGAAAATGTTCTCCACTTTCTGGACTCAGGTATTTCCTCCGCGACCTCTGTTCACAGAGAAGAGTTTGCCGGATTTACAGGGAAAGGTATTTTGCTCATCCATCCTCAAGTGGTTTATCTCCCCCGTTCGCCATAGGTACTGATGGATTCTATCCAGGTCTATATCGTGACAGGGTCAAACACGGGAGTCGGCAAGGCCCTAGCCCAAATTCTCTTCTCCAAGAATGCAAGAGTCTACATAGCAGCGCAAATGGAGAGGAAAAGGCCAATAAAGCAATCCGGGGAGATCAGCCAAGCCGATCCTAATTCCACAGGCGAGCTGGCCTTTCTTCCCCTGGACCTCAGCGATCTGACTGTAATCAAGTCGTCCGTTGAAAGCTTTCTTGCCAAGGAGAACAAGCTGCATGTTCTATTCAACAATGCCGGCGTCATGGCGCCTCCCACAGGATCCAAGACGGCCCAGGGCTACGAACTCCAGCTAGGCGTCAACGACATCGGTCATTTCTTATTCACAAAACTGCTAACACCTACCCTTATCTCCACAGCCAAGACCGAACCGCCCAACACAGTCCGCGTGGTCTGGGTTTCATCCCTGGCTATGGAGATAGGCGCTCCGAAATCAGTTGGCGTACCCATGGACGAGTTGGAGAAGCTCGCCGACAACAAATCGGCTCGGTACAGAAATTACTGCATCAGCAAAGCTGGGAATTACCTGTATGCGGCCGAGTTTGCGCAGCGCCATCGGGCCGACGGGGTTATCAGCGTAGCGCTGAATCCGGGGTATCTTGCTTCGGACCTCTTCCGTCACCGATGGCTCTTGTTACAGCTGTTGATGCGCCCAATGCAATTTCCGCCTGTGTTTGGAGCTTATACCGAGCTCTTCGCTGGGTTGTCGCCGGACGTCACGGATAAGGAGCCGGGGAATTGGAGTAAGTTTCTTCTTGTTCTTGTTTTTGCTCTCCTGCTTGCTGCTACTGCTGATAGGTGGTTGGAGTGTGGGTTGTCGTTTGGTATATTAACTGTTGCGGAAATTTTATTTTAGTTATACCATGGGGGACGTGTGGCTCTCGTCCGGAAAGATTTGGTGGGAAGCGATCAAGCCAGAGACTGACGGCGGTAACGGAACTGCGCGGAAGTTCTGGGAGTGGACTGAGAATCAAATTCAGCCTTACCTTTGAGTCCGCTTTGTTTTTCCTTTTACGGTTTTTTTTCGACATGAACTGTACGTGTACATCTTAAATACACTATTGACGGATGGTCTGGTCAAGAGTGAGTTAGCTTCTGTGGTATCAAAATACCAGGGAAGTGAAGTATCCAGGAGAATTGATATGAGGAACTCAAAATACACCACCACACGGCTGCAAGGGCGACAGAAGAAGCCATACGAGAACTTGTCACAGAGCCTCCGCAAGATATCACCACCTATTCTCTATGTACGGATTTCAATCACGCCGCACGTGAGAGCCCATGCTTCCACAAAATACCGCCGGAGCTCGGACGGTATATCTACATCGTTTTTCTGGCAATCGGTGTGGTATGGTACACATTGAAAATGGCGGTAGAGCTCTGTTGCAACACCTGTCCATATGCAACTGCGTAACGGTCTCCACGGGAGTATTATTATGAGCTTTGATAAGAAAAGGGCGTTGGGTTGGTAACGGCAGGTAGCGTTGGGGAGCTCTTGGGGCGGCTGGTTGCTGATGAGTTGTCGATAGGCGCAGGAGCAGTGATTTTTTTCCCCTATTTTATTTTCTTTGCTACATCAAGTATGCTCATTTTCGAATTGCTCTGTAGATTCGCGGACATCATTGGCGATCCTCTACTCGGCCAACGCCGTCCACCCTTGCTGCTCTGGCAACTTACCCCAACTAACGAGCCTCGTACTCTCACGTATATTAGCGTCAAGCGGTTCCCTCGAAGCTAATTCTCTATGGTCGCTGCCATGAGAGACGCTTTTGGGCATGCACAAACTGTGCTATGGAGCCACTGTCGTTTAATTCCACCCACGAAGTCTATGGCATTTATGAGCGCGATGAGACCACGGAAATGTTGCAATTGCATAGCACAGCCGAGCGTACAGCATGGAGACCTCCTTCTCACATTAGACGTTGGTCCTCATGTTGCTGCTGCTGAAGTTGTTGTTAATACGGTACTATGTGGGGCCGTTGTATCCGACGTTTAAGCAGTATGCTCTCAGACTGATTTGGTAACGGAGAGAGGCCGAAGACATTACGCTGGCACGGGGGATCCGGAGTCCTGGATAGATTTAAGGGTTTGCCCATAAGAGTGTGAGAAATAGTTTGTCGAGTTCCTTGGCTGTCTCAGGCCTCGAATATTCGTGAATGCCCCACTTTCACATACACTTACACATCCCGGCTCTCTTCCTTTTCCCTTCCGTCATGGCTTTCCAAACACATATGTATGCCGCATATGCTGGAAGATTCAGCCATAAAGGCCTTAACCCCTTGTGGATATGAGAAAACGGGCGCACCGGCCCGGCTAACTGTCACAGATTAATGCTCGAACCAGCGTTGAATAGCCTTTCCAACCAAAAATCCGAACCACAAAGAGAACCGGCTGCATCGCATTCGAATAGGTGCTCTGACTAGGATGGACGTCTGTACGTCCTCGAGGCCAAGGGAGACGTTTGCCGGGCATTGGAGAAGTCAAATTCAGTCCCCGCTCAGACAACACCCGTGTTCAGCATGGTTTCTTCCCTTAAGGCAGGGGAGCAAATAAAGATCCACAGCATTTTTCCTTATCTCTATTGCCCCTAGCTCAATCAGTCATCCTCCCGCATTATCATCGTCAAGAACTCTGGTTCGAGAGGCTGCAAGAATGAGCGTTGAATCCATAGTGTTAGGTACGGGCGGAGCTGCTTATTGCAACCGCGAGTTATCCATATTATTTCGGCAATTAGATCATATCCCTCCACGTGTGGAAAAAGAAAGGAGAACGATATTCATGGATGCCATCGACAATGGCAGCTTGATGCCCAATTGGGAAGCCAGCTGCGGCCGTGAGATTGGAATTAGTAAGCTAGATGCCGAGCCCTGTTTAGGTAAACCTCCTTGGCGCAGGCCGTGGTGTGGGAAATGATCCTGATTAGACATTGGAACTACAGATGCACACTCAACGCCTCTATCCAGAGACCGTTGGTGCTCGCGCTATTCATGGATAGATAGCGACTCCCATCGGTGTTTGACGCTTCTTGAGGTCATGATTGTTCTGTGATTCTTGCGAACTATGGTTGCCCCGTGTCACTGGGCTAAGTATTCGGGTGCAGGTGTCGCGGACCAGGTACACATAGCCCTGAAGCTGTGATCCTAGGGCCCCAGTCTGCTGGTATCGTCATGACAATGGCATGTATGCGTGGTCTGCCCCCTGCGGGAAACAGGCTGAACGGACAGAAATCAATCCCAGGACTCCAGCACTGACCTTGGGGTTTCTCAGGAGCAGAACAGCGGAAACAGCGACTGATCGGTCTGACACTGCCATTCCGAAATTGGGAGGAAATGCCCGCCATGGACTCCCTTCTTCTGGGAGCGACAACGCTGACAAGTGGTTGGTTATGCAGCAGTGTGGGGTTAGCCTGGTGATTTATCTCGGCCGCGCCTAGATCCCGATTATAAAATGCCATATACTCTATCAGTGTCCCCCATCAGTCTCCTTTAAGTTCATTCTTATCATGGCGACCTAATTATTATATCCTCCTTTCTCTCTCTCTCTCTTAAACCTGTCCTAAAATGCTGCACCTACGCTCGTTTACAGCAGCTGCACTCGCCCTCACCCTCGTCTTTCTCCAGGGTGCGGCTCCTACATTGGCTGCTATCGCAACCGCTACTGTCCCCGTATCTAGTTTGACTCATGACGTCGAGGGAGATTTTTCAGTCATTTACTACGGTAAAAAGAACGCAGAATCTTTACTTGTGGGAAATGACGGGAGTGCGGCAACCGGTGGATGGAAAGCCTGGAAGCTCGTCACCGATCCCACCACCAATACCCTACGGGAGCATACAACCAGTGTCCAGGGACGTACCAAGGTGATAGGCGTGATGTACGATATTGGGGAGAAGGATATTATTGTTTCAATTGCTGCCACAGACTCCGTACTGCGCGTTTACGAGGTTGCCGATCCCGGAGAACAGCCCTCAAACCGGAAGGTCATGTTGGGCGATTGGTCTGCTCTCTGTCCATGGCGCAGCCCCAAAACTGGGAATCAGTATTTTTATTTGTTTGGAAAGAAGCTGGCGGTGCAATTCATTGTCAGGAGGGAGGGGAGCAAGTTTGAAATTCTCGAGGTCAGTCAATTGTTCTATGACGAGGTCTTGTACTGAACAATACAATATTTTATTTTTTTCGGATACTATTGCTTTACCAGGACCAAAATAAGAGGATCAAGAAAGACCAATTGTATGTATTCGTACATACGCCCGTGTTAACATTAGTGTAGGTTCAAACACTCGATCTTCCTGTCGAGCCAAACTCCTGTGCTCTTTCTCCCAGGGAAGGGACGGTCTACTTCTCAGCTGACGATGATAAGACTATCTACAGCTTCACAGCCGAAGACTCGACGACGGCTCCTGAAATTACTGTGCTTGGAAAAGTTGAGGATGGCATTACCGGATTGGCCACATACGTTACCGAAGCATCCATCTACTTGTTCATTGCCAGCGATGATACCATTGGCATTTACTCACCAAAGCTTGAGCTTCGGGGAACCATCGAACTCACCGAACTAGAGGATATCGAGATTGAGGGCTTGTCAATCGGCCAGTCGAAAAGTGCTAACTACCCTGCAGGCCTGCTTAGCTATGTTTTGGCATCGAAAGCACAGAAATCGTTCGGTCTCAGCTCTTTGGAACTAGCATTTAAGAAGTTGGACCTTGAAGTCAACGTGAAGCATAACCCACACCCATCGAAACATTTTCCGAAAGGAAATAAGCATAACGGTTTTGAAAACCGTGATGGCTCACTTTCTTGTTTCGCAGGATTCGCTGGCAAGAAATGCTTAGACTTCACTTGCAAAAGCAATTGTTCAAACCGAGGAAAATGCATTGGACCTAACGTATGTAAATGCAAAGATTCCTGGAGCGGACCAGATTGTTCATTCCTCCTCGTGGAACCGAAGTTCGAAACAGATGCCAGCGGTGGCGATGGAGATGACCCCGCCATTTGGATCTCACCGTATTCTGGCAATAAGTCAATGGTTATAACTACGACAAAATCCTCCGAGGGAGCGGGATTGGCTGTATTTAACCTCACAGGAAATCTGCTCCAAGTGATGAAAGCAGGACAGCCAAATAATGTGGACGTTATCTACGGAATGAAAGCTGGTCAAAAGACTATCGATCTCGCATACGCAGCTTGCAGAGAAGAAAACACATTGTGGTACGAGCAAAATTTAGCTATCCACTGACAGCTTATCCTCCTCCCTCAAGAAAGGCTTCAGTGAAGTGAACACTGCTAATCCTTCTTCCTCAGCCTCTTTGAAATCACCCGCGAAGGCCTCTTAGCTGAAATCCCTGGAGGCTTGCAGCCCACAAAGGACGGCTACAAGGTCTACGGTTCCTGCGCCTATCGTTCCCCCAGTAGCGGCAAACAATATCTTTTCGTCAACTCCAAATCCTCCGAATACACTGCCAGTACGAACTGACAGTCTCGTCTAATGGCACCTGTCTACAAC